GATGTGGTAGCCGCAGCCATCGCAGTGATGACCGACGGTCGCCGATGAGTTTTGGTGCCTGGTGCAGCCCGACACCCACCACACAGCGATGATCACCGATGAGCTCCGATGAGTTTTTCAGCTGGTGTTGCTGATGTCCCTATGGGTCCATGTTGAGTTCTCAAACGGAACGCGCTTAAAACATCACTGGAGATCATCGGTCATCACTGCGGCTGGTGAGCTGTCGGTGAAAACTCACCGATGAGTTTATTTAGAACTGCGTTTCGTACGGCAACATGATAACTTACAGCGTATCGCACGCCCATCTTCCAAAGCTGGGTTGCACTTGTCTCACACCCTTCTCTCCCTGACCATGTGCAGTCATCAGCATGCACTCGCTCCTCGTTAGCACGTGCGTTAACGCGGTGGGTATGTATCTGCGATGGGTATCGTTCCCTGCCTCTCTCCCATGATAGGTCGGCCACCTCTCCGACACCTTCAGCGTCGTTGGCGCCGAGCTCTACCCAGCCAACGCCGAACCCCCGATGGACGTGTACACGACCATCCCTGCTCGCAGGATGTATCTGACGATCGCGCGCCGTGTGCGCCGTGATGGTAGCGATCCTGATCCTGGTGTGCCCTGGTGTGCCCACATTGCTGAATTAGTGGAGTGCTGCGCCAGCACTTGATAAGGAATGGGTGCCGCCCAACATCCCCCCACCCCAGGGCCGACCGACACCTCGCCATCGAGCACCATGACACATTTGTAACGCTCCGCTCGGGGGTAGGGGGAACTTATTATGTCATGCGCGCTCTGCTCGGCACTGGCAATCGCCGCTCTGCTGGCACGCTCGAGATGTTTTAACGGAACGGACGGCTTGGCCCCGCGCGCCGACCTCGCTCAATGACAGTCGCGTTTCTTCAGCCACCGTGCACACGTTCACCTTCGCATGGCGGGGGAACGTCGGTGGCTGAAAAACCGCGTGGTCATCTGAATCGAGGTGGTTGCGCTGGATCACGCTGCTCGTGCGATCGCCTCTATCCCAGTCTCGGCGGCGCGGGGCGGGGTGGCCCGCCTGGCGTTGGTGACGGCCTCCACGTCGGAGCAGGCGTCGTAGTGCCGTTGTCGGCAGCACCGATGGGGGCGGGGGGTACCCTGGGGGCCCCTTCGAGGGTGGAGGCGGCGGCGGCGGCACGATGAAGGGGGGGCGATCCGGTGAGAAGGAGGTGGCCCGTGACCGTTCACGCCCGAGAGATGCCCGCGCCGAGCCGACACCGCAGTTTGCCCCCTTCGTTCATCGTCGCGCACGGCGGCGCCATGGTCGACACTGTCGAGGGGGGGGGGGGGGGGGGCTGATAAGGTGCGCGGCGAATGTCATAATATCGAGGCGGTGTAGACACGCGAATCCGACGACGCCGAGTGTAACGACGACGATGTAAATTCGGACTCCTCGGAATGCAGCATGTTCAACTTCGACCCTACGTTGGATGTTGTATGGGGCCAGTTGCGCGACGAATGGAATGCCGATGTAGATGATGATTCGGGCGGTGAGTCGAGAAAACTCGGTCAGATGACCAATGATTAAACGGCGGTGTAATCGTTTTCCCCTGACGCGCCCCATCGGAGTTGGTTCGTCAGAAGGGGTGGCGTGGACCGATCGCGGGTGCCCCCCTCCCCCAACCCCCCACTAACGTTACCAGCGCGCATTGCCACCACCCCACTCCTTACGCCCGTGAGATGCACACCTGGCATGTGAATGCCCGCGTCGGGGCCGATGAAGCCAGGCGTGCACGCGAGCACCTGTTTCACGTCATGTGGCGCGCGTTATCGAATGCGCCTGCGGTGGACCACGCCCGCCGCTAACCCCACGCTGTGTCGATGTGATGGGGATGAGTAGGGTTAGGATGGCGGGGGAATCAATGTCGATGAGGAGGAGGACGACGGTGAGTACGACACCGAAGAGGACGAGCATGATACATATGATGACGAGAATGATGGTGATGCACACGATGATGATGCTGCTGCTGATGATTATGCTGATGCTGATGATGATGATGATGATGATGATGATGGAATTGAATCGCGATTGACGCGGGCCTCCTCGGGCCACCGTCATGTCGACTTGGGGGGCGTCTTCGGAACCGTCTCATGGGCTGTCGTGTGAGCATTCTTGGGGCCGTCTCGGGGGCTTGCGGCAACGCAGGCGGCGGACGTCGCGATCTGCGCCCAGGGCGCCGCGAGCGCCGAGGGCGCCGCGAGCGCCCGCGACGTGGCCGTTCGCCCGCGCCCGTGCTGGTTGACACGGTTTTCGTCCGATGATTGTGTGGCTGGGGCCATGTGGCTACTAGCATTGACGTCGGCATCATCATCAGCATCATCATCATCATCATCACAATCATCATCATCATCGTCATCATCATCATCATCCTCAGCACCATCGTCAGCATCACAGCCGACGCCGTCACCACCACCACCACCCTCAGCACCACCACCACCATTACCATCACGACCATCGCCAAT